ATATATATATATATATATAGTTATCTAAATTGATCCTTAAAGTGTGATAAACTATCTTTGTGCCATCTAGTGATTACAATAACAATTTTTATATGATTTACAGATTAAATTATAAACATAAAAAATTACATTATAATAAATCTAAACTAAAATAAGACATTTTTCGATTTAAAATATTGAATTTATTTTTATAAAAACATTACAAATCAATCGATTTATTACAAAGTGTAGGGTGGCAATAATTAAACGATTCCCATTCACGCTTTCTACAGCTATATCAAACAAGCGGGATGGCAAATTTAGTAATTATACTATTAAATTACGTGAAGAAAAGAACAGAATAACAGAAAAAATTTCAGCTTCAAAATCCTCCCATTGGGGAAATACGGCACTGTATAATAAATACATTGAAGGCGCAGACAAATTGACAATAAAATTTAATTTTTATGTATTGTACTTACAGCTATGTGCATCCGCAGAGGGGGGGCAAACGCACTAGCCCTCCTGGATTGAGTAATTCCACAAATTATAATCGTATAAGCGATTGAGATATGCCAAGTATCAAACCTTCGACCATGGAATGCTTTATCTTTGAAAAAAATTATTGATGTAATTATTTGTTTCCAAGCTTTGCTTCCACCCTAGAAAATTTTCTGCTGAGACCATATTTACAGCAATGAATGCCAGACTTTAAGATAATTAACACTTTCCCTGTTCCCTGTTGAAGAGGAGACATTTAACTATAAAAATGTTCCCTCGAATAAAATAAAAGTATTGAACAGGTATCTGTATCTACACTTTACTTTTCTGTTATAGAAGTTACAACGTATACACTTTGCTCTAGTATAACTATAATAAATTACGAAACTCTAATGTCGGTTATACTTACAGTATGCCTTGATTTTTGACAAGATCCATCAGAATTCAAAGTATAACAGAAAATATAAAGAATTAATCGTTGAAAATAACTATTTAAAAAAAACAGGACAGAATAAAACAAGTTATCTTTTTGATTAGGAGATAATTCGCAGGAAGAAAATAAAAACAAGACGAGAGAATTACATTGTTAGTGCTTGGCACTATTATTATATCCAAATTAAAATCAAATCAAACGATAACAACAGGAAAATTTTTTAATTTTATGTGATGTTTTTCTATTCATGCAATTTTTTCTTGATTATTAATTATTATAATTTCTAAGGAGAGAACATAATTAAATATGAACTTTTCTGAAATTTTTTTATCTTCTGAACTCTATTTTTGTGTTATTGTAAGAACTGCAGAAAGAAATTAACCAAAGTGATCGAGTCTTCAGACAGATGACACCTCGAGAAGAAGAAGAAGAAAGGTCATGTTACGAAAATTGATTTCACGTAAAAGCTATTGTACTTGAAATCAAACAATACAGTCTAACAAAGAAGAAACTTTTATTCTTAGTATTGATTAAGTTCATTATTTTATCAACAGATAAATATCCTTTTATTTATCTTTATTCGTATAAATGGTGGACTTTTTTTAACTATCAAGAAGTAGTTAGAAACGAGTTCGGAGCATTGTTAGACTTAGCAAGAATTCTGCGATACTGAACACAGCTCCGGATTCGAACCCGGAATCCTCTACGGATATTTGATTACTTGTTTATTAGATATGTGTGAAAAACTACGTTTAATTAATATAAGTATATTCTTTATATATATATATTCTTACTCTTTCAGTCGTGGGCATCTTTTTAATTAATCAAGCTCTTCGTGGCCATGCCCACAATGAGGCAACCGGATGATGAGGGAGGAACTACTCTTCGAAAACTTCCTGCAGTAGCGTAAGTGTTTCTCAACTGGAGTCACTGAACATTTCAAGGAAGCCACAGACCAAAAATCAACTTTTGGGAAGTCTGAGCATTAGAATAAAATATTAAAATTATATAAAAACAATCAAACTTCAATAAGTAAATTATTAGATAAATGTTTGTAAATTATTAAAACATTACCTTTAAATAAAATACAAAAGTAAATTTGACAAAGAAATTTTGAACACAAAGGGCGCGTTTCCATGTCAAGCAGCTGAGTAAACAAACCAATGAGCTAGATCGATCATATAAAACGAATTACTTTATTGGCTTGCTTATTTAGCTGCTTGACAAGGAAACATATCCAAAATGTTTTAATTATAAGTTTCGTACCTCCAATGAATTTCTTAATTATCTCAAACTTCCAATTGGTTGAGATATAGAAGACTTATCAAATTGTATCGGACGACAAAATAATTGAGATCACATCATTAAAAGAATAATTTTATTCGTGGAATGCATTTCAGTCTATGTATGCCCGAAATGCATTCCACAAATCCTCTTCAGCCACTTTTATATTGATACCTGCATCATTTTAACTTAATTTACATGGGTTAGTGATACCAACTTAGGGATTCCGCCTAAATTTCGAGGAAAATGTAAAGTCTGCCCATATTGGTAAACAGAGTTTCGGCAACGAGTAGGAACTTCCAAAAGTCATATGACTCACGACTGTTCTTCGGCGAGATCCGAAGCATATCGTTTCATTACGTGATGTTTTTGCTCAACTGTGCATATATATGTACTGTAGTTCATAAGAAATATGCTACTGTTATAGCGGCTGAACATTTGATCAAATTAAGGAATACAAAATACAATATATACAGGCGTTCCTCGACTTACAAACACGATTGTTCCTGGAGTTTTGTTGTAAATTGAGAGTATAATATACACCGGATAATATACAACCGTTCATAGGGCTGTCCATAATTGACATCTATAATGGAAGGGAGGGGAGTTAAGATTGTTTGTTTATTAAGTTACGGCAACGCAACACTTACGGGCGATCTGGCTAGGGGGAGTTGCCTTCCGGGAGATCTTTTTAAGGGTAACTGGCCCCTATTCACAGTGCGTACCGTGGGTGTCAGCCGCCCGGGACGGAGAAAAATTTCGCCCCCCTTATTTAGATATTTCAATTTAAAAGACCAAAATTCAGTTTTGTCACAGAACAAGCAATGAAAAATTCGGTGGTAGTGCAGCAACCTGTTTAAAAATAGCTCAATTGGATATTAGTGGTGTATATGAACGCGAATAAATCGTACAAGCAAAAAAAAAAAGGTCAACAGATTTCGCAGGATTCCCTCGGATAAAAAAGTTACTAGTTCACCCGGACGGCGAACCGATTCCCGGACTGTCCGGACGATAGCACTATCGTAGGCGCGATACAAGTATAGATTAGGATGTTTCAAATTTTTACAAGATATTATTATTATTTATTGTGAAATTTTGCGTCCCCCTAAAAAAGTGCTGCCCGGGGCGGGCCGCCCCTGCCGCCCCCACTACTGTACGCCACTGCCTATTCAGGTGTTACAGACGTGGAGAAAACCCGGAAAACTCCACGTAGCCAACCCGTCCTGGAGAGGCGCGAACTCATGATCAAACTCCCAGTTTCAGGGAATGGAACAGCTTGGCCATTGGTGAACCCGACCCACAATGGGCTTGCTTAAAAAAGGTCCTCTTAATGCCCACGGGCGGAAAAAATATAAAAAATATTTTGAACTAATTTCATTTAATGAAAATCAAACGAATCATTGCATAATTTATTGCATAAGTTATTAATACCTTTTTAAATCTAAATGCTAATGTAAAATACTGAAACATCTTAATAGTTAAAATTCTTCTCTTCCGGTTTGTAGAGACTTATAAGTTATATTATTACTATATTAAGATTGCGTGACAAAAGAAGTAATTATGCAATGCACTATATTGAATGATTTGAAAATTTTTTCTTATTTCTTTCAGATGCTACTAAAATACAAACGTGCGCCATGATACTTGTATTAAAATAATATTAATATTAATTACATTCATTATATAGCTTATTTATTATTAATGATAACTTATAAAAATATCACAAATATTTACAAATTTATTAATAATTACCGATATTCAGAAAATATTTTCTAGAAAGTAAAATTACCGAAGCAGGGAAATTGGCTATTTACGAATGGAATTACTTTGCTCATCTGGCAATTGGATTGACAAATTTGTATATTGCGTCATTGGTTGTCATAAGGTGACGTCATAATCAGGTGCGGTGTAGAAGAGGAACGAAGATGTTTACAACAGGACCTAATTATGGTAAACTGAAAACGAATTTGCGGTTAACGATAAACCGTTTGAAATTATTAGAGAAAAAGAAAACGGAATTGACACAAAAGGCACGGAGAGAGATTGCGGATTATATAGCAAATGGGAAATTGGAAAGAGCGAAAATACGCGTCGAGCACATCATTAGAGAGGATTATTTAGTAGAAGCTATGGAAATCGTCGAGATGTATTGCGATCTCATTTTGGCCAGATTTGGACTTATTCAACAGATGAAGTAAGTCGACAAATATTTCAAAATGATGTAATGAACGTTTATCTTGGGATTTTTTAGCAGATAAACACTTTAATCGAGAAAATTCATCTTTTATTAATTAAACTACAAATAATTCAGTTCTGGAAATGTCTATCAAATATACTTCTTTAAAAAAAACAATAATTTAGATTTGTCATGTACTAATTTAAATAATTACACCTTGCACTAATTTGACTATTTTACTGCATAAACAAGCAGAAAAGTAATTAGTCCATTCATTTATGTTATAAAACCATTTGATTCTTCTTCCTTGTAGTCTCTAGGACTCCATAATGATGTCTGTTTCGTGGGGTGGGGGAAAACTCAGAATGTGACAAGGGAAAGGGGAATGATCCTTGTGCAGTCACGTTTCACATTTACCATTAATCAGTGTCGTACACACTTTTTTAAAACATGTTTTAGTTTTTGCACTTATTTATATAGGAACATTGTACAATATACATTTACTTTTGCTGTTTTTAGTAAAGCTGCTTTATTTAAGCAGCTACAGAGTACTTTAAGTAATTTCCATTGTTGTAGGAAACATTTCTACACCTCGGCTACTCGGCATTGTTGTTTGGCTCTTCATATATGTTGTTTTGTATGAATAAACATGTTTAGTTGGAAATGACACGGAATTGTTGCCAAGACTGTAAAATATCGGAGGCAGCCGATGAAAGTTCGATGTTGTATAAAAATGCAATATAGAACTTTCATTGGCCTTATTGGACATATTGTTATCATATGTGTGCATTTGCCATTACTAATAAAATCTGAAAACATTTATGTCAGAGAAGATGATTATGTGGAAATCTGTTTCTAATTTTTCCAATTCAATTCTTCTGTCTTCAGTGCTTGTGAACCTTGCTGCACTTGTGCTGCAGCAGCTAACTTAAAATGGAAATAGCTTAACTGTCTTTTAACAAAGAGGCTTTACTAGGAAACGAATCCATAAGCTGTTAAGAATCATAGTAAAGTGGATTGTGCAATTTCTGTGATTGTAATTAAGTGTGGAATTTACATCACATTCTCACTATTTGTATGCTACAAAGGACTTGTCAGTTCATATTTTTACAAGTCAAAGAAATGTTACAATAAGTAACATTATGAAATTGTATTGTTGCTATGAAGTCATAGGTTGTCTTTGTTTCTAGGGTCTGTTGAGTTAAACAAGGTATTTTTTGTTGTTGTCGAAACCGTGTTGTATTTATGTATTGTATACTGGCACAATGAAGTGACTTTTCTTCAACACTAGGCAAGTTTCAATCTTTATTCAGTTAGTTACTAACTGAATAAAGATTGAAACTTGCCTAATGTTGAAGAAAAGTCACTTCATTGTGCCAGTATACAATACAAAAAGGTATTTTTTAAAATATACACAGAACTTCAATATTTATCATCATAGAACTGAGACTGTTAAACTTGCTAAAAATGTTTATTGAATTTTTTGAAAAATTTAAAGTTTGTTTTCAGAATCTTACCAAAAAAAAGGAATATAAGGAATGAGATTTTTCTAAATCTATAGACTACTTACAGATTTAGAAAAATCATCATTCCTTATATTTCCTACAGTGCATCTCATGGACTGGAGGAAAATAACTTTTGACTTTGTTTGGAATGCTTTAGTTGGGAATGTAATAAAGATGTTGAGTGGATGAATTAGCCAGAAATAATGCTGTTTTCAACCTAGTTAATGGGCCATCTTCAGGTGTGGACAGTTGAAAGTAGAATACCTCATTTTTTTCAGGTAGAACACCTGAAGAAGGCCTGTTAACCAAATTGAAAACATTAGTGTTATTTAAACTTCACTCACTATTAAAGGTGCATTGATTAATATAGTCTCTTACCTTTCATTTTTCCTCCCAGAAGATTCTGTAATGAATTGCATCTTAGTATTAAACAATTTGCTTTTTATTTGCTGGCAGACACAACATAAATTTTGCTGTCAAGATGGTTAAGGTACCATCCTACTGCTCTAGGTGAGTGCTTGTTCAGATTTGGTCCTTAACCTCAGGTATTTTTTTATATACTGTCCATTGTGGATATGTCACAATCCATCCTCATCATCCAATCTTCTCCCATTGTGAACCTAGATGAACCTACCATGGTTATGGAAAAAAAGCCCTCTTAGTGCCCATAGGGCAGAGAGTTAAAAATGAAAAAAAAAAATTGATTTTTCTAACTAGTTAAATTTGACAAGTTTTTCTCTCTCTCCACACATTTTAATAAAAAAATTATATTTTGTTTATTTTTGAAGTTCAGAATATCATTAGTTCTCTTATCTTCCATCTCAAATCAATAAAAGAAGAAAAAATTCTGAGTAAATATAATTTAGTATAAAAACTAAAAATGAAAAAGTTAATAGATATAGATAAACTATTTTATTTCAATATTGTGTGACATATTTAAAATTAACTTAGAGATAACTCAGCAACAAATTATGGTGTTTTAAATTGAAACTCAATTCAGCTTCTTTAAAACCTTTAATAAAAACACTTAACACCTTATATGCTGAGATATATTTATTGAAACACAAACGTTTTCAGCCTAATTGAATAGGCCATCTTCAGGTGAACTGGCATTCGAACGTATTTCAAAATTGTATTAAATGGAACGTTCGATCATTATAAATTCAAAATTAAAATGAAAAATAAATTAACAAAAAAAAATAAGTATACTAAATAGATTGACGCCATATTAATATAAATAATAAATAAGGCGATATAAAAAATAAACAAAAATAAAAATAAAAACAAAATAAATAAACCTAAAGGATTAAATGCACGAAAGAACTAAATTAATAAAAATATATACATAAAAAACGTCATATTATATTATAAAGGGCAGATAGGAACTAAGAATTTGTGTGTTTTAACTTTTCTTTTACAAGGAACTTCCATGCCGATGGTAAACCATCAGCATCTGTTGCATTGATACAGCCGTCTCTTAATTTACTCTTATAAATTTCAATTTTTTCATGTTGCAACACCAAAGATGGGGACCTCAACATCTTGAGAATAGATGCTTTATTCCATTTAACTACTGAAGCCTCCACTTGTGCCATATCTGACAAAACAGTGGTAAAATATCCTTTGCTAATGTCATATCTGTGTTCTTTAAGCCTAATAGCCAAATTTTGTCTTGTGACTCCAATATAGTCTTTCCTAGTTCCTAGCTGTTGGTTTTCAAAGGAAATTTTATACACGCCCGCTGTTTCTTCTTTCTTAAGCTTGTCTTTGTCGTTTCTAAGAATACTGTATAAATTAGGACCTCTTTTGTAAACAATTTTGGAGTGTTTTTATCTGAAACTTGCTTCATGATGTCCTTGAAGTTTGTATTATATGTAAATTTTGTGATCTTTAATTGATCTGTTCCTGTTCTTAGCCTCATGCCTCTTTCATAACTTTTTACTAGCCCTTCAATTGTACTTCTGTGGAAACCCAAATTTGTAGCTACTTCCTTAATTCTGTTAATCTCTTTACTCCTATCCAATATATTGGAGCAATAAGTAAATGCTCTCCTAATGAGTGCCCGAAATGCTGACATTTTGTATTCATGCGGGTCATTCGAATTAGCTGGTATGTAAAGAGGATTGTGCGTAGTTTTTATGTAAATGTTCGTTGTTATGCAATCTCCTTTTAGCTGTATGTCTATATCTAGAAAATGTATTCTTTCATGGCTCTTCTGCTCTAGTTTCAGTTTCAAACCATCATTGTTGGTGTTGTTAATAACCTGTATAAACTGTGTATTCTTTTGCCTTTTCTCCATATAATGCACACATCGTCCACATATCTTTTGTAAAATACAATATCTTTTTTGAAGCTATTAACAACTTGTTTTTCTAAGTTGCGTAAAACCAGTTCGCATAACAACCCTGACATTGGGCTTCCCATCGGTATGCCTTTTTTCTGTCTGTATACTTGCTTATCATAGCTGAAGAAGGACTCATAACGTATCAACTTGGCTAATTCTTTCAAATCATTCTCAAATGCACCAACTTCTGGTTTTATGCGAAGCATAAATTCGATTAAAGCTTCGTAACATGATTCTATCCGTACCGACGGATACAGGCTTTCAAAATCCATAACGGACCCAACTTCTTCATCCATTAAACTTAACTCTTGCAACTCCTTAACGACATTGGTCGGGTTACGTGCAACAAGATCACTGTTACATAATTGATCCGAAATGAATCTATGTAAACGTTTTTCCAAAATGTATGTGGGCCCTCTGCATTTCTCCACTACCGGTCTGACCTCTTTGCCTTCCTTATGTATTTTTGCAAAGGCAAATATTCTTGGAATTGCTGGGTTCGGGTTATGCGACCGTTTAAGGAAAGTTAATGCAAAACTTAATGGAGCTCGTTCAAGTTTTTTTACTCTTCTGTCCACGCCTGTGACAATGCTTTCATTAACTCGTTCACATTCTGTTCTTCTAACGTATTCTTCCAATGCTTTGTTATATCTTTTTCTTTCCATTATAACCATATGCTTACTCTTGTCCGCTCGTGTTAGGACCAACTCATTGTCATTCAACCACTGTTTTTCACGTTTTAGCTGTTTTATTTCCTTATTCTTCATTCTGCAGGTGTGATCTCTAAGAACAGTCTTCCATCGGAAAAAATCCTTTTCTAACTCGTTAAATTCTATCAATCCTCTCTCCATTTCTGCTAATGAAGTTTGCCATAAGTTTTCGTCTTCCGGAACAAAGTTAGGACCTTTTTGTAGAATTTCCTTGATTTCATTTGGGATGTGGACTTGGTCCCATATAACAAAAGGCGATGGGTTTATGTTTGTTTTTTTCTTTTTTGTTACTTGCTTACTCAAGATCCACTTCATTTTCTTGATATATCTTTTCCTTAAACTTTTTTGTACCTTTTCTGTCAACCTGCCCACTTTCGCATTAAATTCACTGAGACTTTTTGGATGGTTACTATATATTTCATTTTCTAATGCAATGAGATCTTGTAACATTCCATACCTTTTATTTTTTGCGATTCTGATGGATTTACGTAGGCAGTCTTTTCTAATTTTTTCTTTCAATGATGTACATTCCTTTGGAATACATATTCTATAAATGGACATTGGGAAAACTTTGTTAAGCCGACATTGCTTAAGAAATTCTAGCTTACTATCTGCCTTTATTAACTTCAATGCTAATTTCCTATATTCCTTATATATTTCCTGGCTGGTGTCGCCATATTGCCAATAAATTGGAGTCACAAGACGAAATTTGGCTATTAGGCTTAAAGAACACAGATATGACATTAGCAAAGGACATTGTACCACGGTTTTGTCAAATATGCACAAGCGGAGGCTTCAGTAGTTAAATGGAATGAAGCATCTATTGTCAAGATGTTGAGGTCCCCATCTTTGGCGTTGCAACATGAAAAATTGAAATTTATAAGAGTAAATTAAGAGACGGCTGTATCAATGTAATTATGAATATGTTACCTGTAACTTTACATTACTGTAAAAATTAAATCTATTAATGTTGCATTAATAAATTTAAGTTATTAAATTAAGCCATTATTTTAACTTTAAGCTGTTTTATAATTGTGGTTAATAATTTAGAATGGAAAATTTACTTTGGCTTTTGTGAAAAATAATATTAAATCTTGTATTTTATCAAGAATTTACTTGTAAGAATAACTTTATAATTAAATTCGAGTAAATAAAACATTGTCATTTAATCTATTAAATGTTTTTGAATGTTTAACATTGACTTTTGTAACAAATTAATTTAAAACTTATTTTTTACATTTAGAACTTTAGATGAAGGATTAGCTGAAGCAATTTCAAGTATTATATGGGCAACTCCAAGACTTCAAGCAGATGTAGCAGAATTAAAAATGATTGCAGATCAGTTAACATCCAAATATGGAAAACCTTATGCTCAAGCTGCTCGAGAAAATGCTTTGAAAACTGTCAATGATAAACTTATCCATAAACTTAGTGTTCAAGCTCCATCAAAAATATTAGTCGAGAAATATTTGATTGGTAAATTAAAATTTGAAAATGAAATATAATTGGAAATAATTTTGATATAGTTATTAGTAGATAACATTTTAAAATGTTTACATTAAATGAAAATTTATTTAGTTAGAAACAAACAATGAAATTTATAATATTTTTTATTATTATAATAAATAGTATAACATTAAATGTCAGTGTTTATTGTAATATATTCACTTATTTATTATATCAACTTTTTATTTATTACCATGGTTATGGAAAANTTCGTAATATAAAGCAACTAATATTTATATAATATATATATATATATATATATAGTGTTGTATATATAGTGAAGTTAAGGATTTTCAAAGAATTCTTGAAAAGTAGTGTGCTTGTTGTAAAGTAGTCATATAAAGTAGTCAACAAATGCAAAAATAACCTGTTCAAAACTGTTTGTTTCCCTAAGACAGCTTCCCCACTCTAGCATCCATATCATTGTACATTATCTGAATAACTTTATATATTTCCTGAGTACATCCTTGTTTCCATACTGTACCAGATTAAATGATTAGGTACTGTTTTAAGCCATCTGTATTAATGAAAGTCATATGTAGTTTTTACCCATTATCTGTGTTAAACTAAAAATTACATCTGTGGTTGGGTTTTTTCTTCTAAAAACTAAACTTATTCCTCTATAGCTACTTTTTCCCTAAAGGCTGGTCTATACACAGTGTCTTATTGAACATTTTGTCTTTTCAGTCAAAACGCATTAGTTAAAATGGGTTAGCAACCTGTTTTGTTACTAAGGGCACAATAAAAATTTTTAAAAACCATTGAGGGTGCATAGTTTAATTTTTGAAAAAAAAATTTACAATGATATAGTAAATAAACAAAATAATTGTTTTGAAATATGTACAGTCTGGTCTAATGAAGCACGCACCTGCGTATAATCGATAAACGCAGTCGTAACTTATCGCTTGCATTTTCAGGACACGCCACCTGTTATCATAGAGTTTTGAGATGGACCCTTCCGATCCGTGATGAAATAGGGATGAGGCAGTTGCTCAAGAGGGGCATTTAAGCGGTGTCACCTGACTGTTTTAATCGACAAAACTAATCGATGATAACTTTTTTATCCCCGCTTATATAGCGTGAGATTTTTAAGTGGAAAGTTACGGTAATCATTTATAAAAATTTACGATTATATCTTTTATTTCAATCAGTTTTTCCCTTTCAACGTCTTTTTATATTTATTTTATTGTAATTTGATTCGAAAAAGGAAATAAATAAACATATCAGCTTTCACTTAGCTCAAGTTTCAGGGACCAACGGCGGTTTCGTTTGTAATTGGAGAAGAAAGTGTTTTCTTTCACGGTTAGTGTAGAATTTATTATTTTAGCCGTCATCCATCCCATTGCCATTATAAACAAGCTGTTAATCGTAAATAAAAGATCCGGCTTCCGTTCCGATGTCATTGGTGCTATCTATCCCTTTAAATGTTTTCTCTTCTTCTGTATGTTCAACTATTAATTTTCCAATACTTTTTAATATTGCACGAGACATCTTCATAATTTCAGCTAATAAATCCAATATTGCTCTCTGAACGATGTTTATGTCCATTTTGTCGTCTGCTTTTTGTTTGTCTTTTTTCCCGTTAAGTGTCGCCTCTCGTTTCCCTGTAAAACAACTAAGTCTTGCAAGAAAGTCGAAGTTCTCTAATAAATTTATAAATTTCTAATAATCATATTAATTAATTTTTAACTTCGACTTTCTTGCAAGACTTAGTTGTTTTACAGGGAAACGAGAGGCGACACTTAACGGGAAAAAAGACAAACAAAAAGCAGACGACAAAATGGACATAAACATCGTTCAGAGAGCAATATTGGATTTATTAGCTGAAATTATGAAGATGTCTCGTGCAATATTAAAAAGTATTGGAAAATTAATAGTTGAACATACAGAAGAAGAGAAAACATTTAAAGGGATAGATAGCACCAATGACATCGGAACGGAAGCCGGATCTTTTATTTACGATTAACAGCTTGTTTATAATGGCAATGGGATGGATGACGGCTAAAATAATAAATTCTACACTAACCGTGAAAGAAAACACTTTCTTCTCCAATTACAAACGAAACCGCCGTTGGTCCCTGAAAGTTGAGCTAAGTGAAAGCTGATATGTTTATTTATTTCCTTTTTCGAATCAAATTACAATAAAATAAATATAAAAAGACGTTGAAAGGGAAAAACTGATTGAAATAAAAGATATAATCGTAAATTTTTATAAATGATTACCGTAACTTTCCACTTAAAAATCTCACGCTATATAAGCGGGGATAAAAAAGTTATCATCGATTAGTTTTGTCGATTAAAACAGTCAGGTGACACCGCTTAAATGCCCCTCTTGAGCAACTGCCTCATCCCTATTTCATCACGGATCGGAAGGGTCCATCTCAAAACTCTATGATAACAGGTGGCGTGTCCTGAAAATGCAAGCGATAAGTTACGACTGCGTTTATCGATTATACGCAGGTGCGTACTTCATTAGACCAGACTGTATATTTATACAAAATAAAGATTATACATGCATGTAATAACTCAAAAATGAAAATTAAAAGAATGTACATAAAATAACACAAAATTAAATAAAATTAAATTACAAGTATACAGTATATATTTATGCTTGCATGACCATGGTTCTAGAGGACACTTCTGAAATGCATCATGTGTGCCACATTGCCAACCCCTGAGCTAAAACATTGTGTAGCATGCAAAATGAAGGATTTCCCTGACCTGAAAAAAAGACAGATGAGAAAAGCATCATTTTCTGACAAAATCGCAAATAAGTCGTTTTGTGTAGATGCTCATTACACTCTGTGTTGGCATAAAATGGCAGTATATTCTCAGTGCAATTTTTGACCCAGCATTACCAGTAATATGATTTAAATTATGGTGTGTTTTTGCTAAAATGATTAGATGTTATATAAAATTATGTCAAAATTTTTTCTCTTAAGAAAGAGAATAAAAATTATTGTTACATGTTGTAAATAAATGTTTTATTGAAAAATAGATATATAATAATAATAATTTAAAATATATATAATGATATAATATCTGTCTCTTTTAAATAGTCATTCGGTACCACTGTTTGTGTATAGAGAGAATCTTTTTTTGCTGTTTTTACAGGTGCCTTGTGAAAACAGCAAAATTGGCTAAAAGTAGTGCTTCCTCCATACTGAAGCTTCACAAATGAAAAAAAAAAATTTCAGAAAAAATGTAATTGTGTCAATGTGAAGAGTTTGTTTTGACTGACTGTTTTGATTGAACAGGCAAAATGTGTGATAAAACATTGCATTTAGACCAACTTAGTCTTTATTTAGGATTTTGTTTTTATGTTCGGTGTTGTGATATGAGCTTAATTAATATTTATTGAAACAATATTATTAAGACGACAAAAGATATTTTTGTTCAGACAGTAAGCTACTTGTTATATTTTATATAACAAGTAGCTTACTGTCTGAACAAAAATATCTTTTTGTTTTAGTTTAGCTTTTTAAAAGTGTCATAAGTAAAACTAATAAATTAAATATATTAAATAGGACAGTAATATATTAAAAAATGAAGACTAACAAATAAGTTGAAAGCTTTTTGAAGTCTTTGACATGTCATTCTAAAATGTCAGAACACAATCAACACTAATGGAAACAACCTTTCTTTATAGGCTCTTCTGCCTATACATTTAAATTGTTTAAAAGTCCTCTAGCATCAGATATTTGTAAAACATTTTCTCTGTACAAACTGTTGGAATGGATGTGTTGAAGACTTCAAAATGTTTTCATTTTTGTAATTTTTATAATAAATTAACATTTTATAAATAAAACAATTATCCTGTTATTGTCTAACTGAATTTATAAATTATGAATTTTATATGGAACTAAGATTATGAAAGTTAAGTTTTAAGTATGTATTCTTTACATTTCCAGAAATTGCTAAAAGTCATAATGTACAGTATGAACCTGATCCAGATGTTATGAAAGAAGATGAGCTTATGAATGCTGAAGTTGAACCAGCTGATACACTTATAGATTTTGAAGATAAAACAAATCAAGTTCCACCTTTACCAGGATTTATAGGTGCTGGTGGTTTTATCAGACCTCCAATGCCAACTCAACCTTTTAATTATCCTTCTGTAAGTGTTTTCAAAATCATTTTAATAATAATAATTTATGTAATTAATTATTTAGTGGAATCATTCTGGATTCTTCTGCCATTCACAAAAGCATGTATTGCACAGAGTTTTCTATTATTCAATGCATGTGTGCACATACACATGTATGTAAATATTGCAATGTAATTTAGCCAAATATTTTCTTATAATTTTGGATTAAAAAAAAACAATAAGACATTATTTATCACTTGAAAGCTGTAGATCTTAGAGTCTAATTACAAAAAATAGGCCAAACATGATCGTTACAATATTGTAATTTGTAACTTTTAAATTTATATTTCAGACTTTTTATTTTAATTAGGAAGTTATTCCCTTCTAATAACTGCAAAAAATATAATTAAATCTATCAAAAATAATATCAGAATGAAATTATAAAAAAATACAACTCATTATTTCAATATATTTAAATGTCTGAATACTTGTTTTACTGATTAATAAATGTAATAAATGCTGTTGTCAAGAATCATGTCATGGTTATCATCAATACATGGTATTAACATAAAATTACTGTCAATTTGTTTATTAGCAGTGCTGTTTAACCACTAAAATTTAATAACATCAATCCTCCCTAATACACAAACCACCTAACACAAACTAAATAAAACATTATTTAATATGAATACATAAAATTTTTTAAATTTTTGTACATATTTTTTTATGATTTTATTTTTGAAGGTTTTTCTGTTTTCTTGAAAAAGTGTTTTTGAAAACATGCAAAGGCAATGGCAATTGATGGATTTTATATAGCTGATATAAATTATTACAAAATAAGATGCAAATAGTGGATCATTAAAAAAAAGCTCCTTATCAGATGAATCTAAAGTTATGATATATGTTGTTTTAATCATGTTGAGTTTTGATTTTGTGGACTTAAAAGAAAATATTTGCAAATTAAATTTTATTTTGTAGTAGGCTTTTCAAATACAGAACTTCAGGACCACTAAGACAAAATCTGATGTTTATTTGTCTGCTAGTATATACATACCCAAACAGAGCAAAGATAACAGGAATAAATGAAGACCATACAGGTTTTTGTTTAAGTGGTCTTACCATGCCAGGACACTTTGTCTTCTAACAATTTGTTTTTACAAACTTAGAATCCTCATCAATATATAATCATAATAATTTAACAATATGGAAATAATTAAAAATTCAAAAAGTTCTGAGAAATATTTAGTTATAATTGGGTTAATTAGTGATTTAATGATTAGAGAATTTGGACTTAAAGTTTGTAGGCATATCACCATTCATTGGTAATATTAATTATTAATAAATTTGTATTAATTAAATTTTGATGCATTGAAAATTAAAATTGCAGATGATATTTTAAAATAATATGGACTAGGTTTTTTCCTGGACTCTGGATAGAATAACTGATAAAATTCTTGAATATTAACTGAGTATGATCCTGCCTTAGGTAAATTTTTTGGTATCTTGAAATTCAGTTAAGTTTAAATTAAATTTTAAACATCCAACCATCATATTTTACTCCTAATATTATTAGAACAAACATATCATGCTCAATTGTGTAATCTGCACATTATTTCAAAAAAATTATAACCAAAAGTCAGTGCACAGTTTATTTGAAACAAATTTTGTGACACAACACACACAGGCCAGGGTGCTTCAAGTTACTAAGTATTTTGCTTACTTTGCTCATGATAAATTTTGCTTGTCAACAGCAATTTTGATTAATATAATGACTATCTTATAGTCAATAGTCACAAGCAATATTATTAAATGTTTTTGTGTGATTTATTTCATGAAATTGAGGATAAATAAAGTATGGTAAATATGTAACTGAGACTGACAGTAAATAATTTTTATACTTATATTACCTCTTAGTTTGTTAGTCAATTAGCAGTTTTTACCTATGATTTAATTAAACACTATTAGGAGTTTTACTTTCATGTAATTAGTAAGTTATAAAATACATTACAAAAGATTGCATCTAATTTATCTTTACCAGATAAATTAAAAAGTCAATATGGTAAAGATAAAAAAGAAAAAAAGTTTACAAGTCAATATGGTAAAGATAAAAAGAAAAAAATTATTTGTTTACCAGATAAACAAATAATTTTTTTTCTTTTTTATCTTTACCATATTGACTTGTAAACTGAGTACTGCCATATTTAATGCTACAAAAGAAAAATAACAAGAGTGAAGGATACTATTGTGTTTATAACTATAAATGAGTAAAATTTGTTAAATACAGTTTGCCTGAATAATCAGGAGTAGTCACCAGTAATGGAAGCACAGGAACATGGATAATCTGGAAGTCTGTTTTATTGAAAGATAATCAATTTTTCTTTTAATTTTTAAAATTTCATATTAAATTTAACATAATCTATGTATATAAATAAAGATGTTAGTTTGTTTGTTCACTATACACTCCTAGGCCATTCAACCAATTGCTACAAAACTTGACAGTTGGATTCACATACTTCTAACTTAGATAATGTCATACTCATCATGCCACCTCAAAATATTTATGGGATTTCTATAAATCAATTAATTTTTGTCTAAATTCATTTGTCAGCTTTACACACAGCATTATGTATTGGCAAAAAATTTAAGAAAATAATAAATTAAGTATCATTCTTACAAAAAAGATATAATTTTAAAAATATATATATTATATTCACTTAATTACTGCAACAATGATTTAGCATGAAATAGATGTACTATATCATTATTGCAACAAGGTAGCATATAGCACTTGCCTGCATGGAATCAAAAGTGTTATCCTGTGAAAAGTCTAATATTTAATTTTCCACATCTGACTTGGGTATTTTCATTTCTGAATGGTACTTTCTTAATTCTAAGTGGCTTCTTGTAGCCAAGTGGGTAAAACCACTGAACATTGGTAGTTAGTTAGTCATGTGTTCAGGCATTGCCAACAGGCTGGCCACATGGAGTTTTCCATGTTTCTTCATGTTAGTAACACCTAAATAGGGTTCAGCTTCCCATAAAAGTCTTCGTGGGATGCATCCCCTTGGCAGATCACTCACATGTTATGTTGCAATAACCAAATAAATCAAACTAATGCTAACAGTCAATTATTTATTATGACATCATCACAATACTGGGCTGCAATTTTTTATCACAATGTTCTCAATTCTTTTAGTGGTATCTTGCCCCTGTAAATCATACTTTTTCTGTTAGCAATAGAGTTGTGCCTGTTATCTATAGTATCTAATTCCATTCAGGGGAAATTTTGAATTGAAGTAACTTCTGGTTTGGACTGGAAGTTTTTAAATAGTTACTCTAGGCTTCCTGCTCATAAGCTTTCCATATCTGTCTCGACTTTCATCTAATTCCTTTCTGGAGATTAAGGAAGGACAGACAGCAGGCGAACAGGTCTACAGTTTTTTCAAAATGCAGCCCAATAATTTTTTTATGAATGCAATATTTGTGAGAACATAGTTTTTACAATCTGTTGCAGAAATATAAACACTTTATTATCACATAAAAGCAATTATTCTTGCATTTTTACAAGGATAAGTCATGTGAAGTCTTTTGGACGTTAAGGTTAGCAACATCGATCACATTCAGGGCCATCACAACCTATCCAACATGGATCATTTTTCAAATTTTGATGTAGACCAGTATTAATTAGTAGTCATTGGCCTCCTCCTGAAAGAGAGGATGTTCAAATTTGTTAAATTACTTCAACCCTTTTCTACAACAGTCCATTCATTCTATTGGATCAGTGGTATCGTGGCATTTGAATCTGAAAATTACATAATACACAGTTACAACCTGTACAAAATGTTTTAAGTTGTTTTCGAGGGTGCTGAGTTTAAATATTTGGTCTGTTTTTTGCAAAATTTGATTTGTTGGCAGATTACTTTTTGATATTTGGCTGAGAATGGTACAGTTTTTAGGGTTAGCATTAGGAAAAAAATACGATATCAATTAAAAACATGCAATTTTAAATTTTTTAAAATATCTACTTGACCAATTAAATTGTGTCATTTCATTCCATCTGATAAATGTGACAATAGTAGGCTTTCTGTATACTGTTTATACAGTATATATACATATATATCAATATACATACATTTTTTGGGAATCATCATTTCCCCTAATAGAGATCAGTCTTCCCCGCTCTGCTTTCGCATAATGGGGCTAGTATATGATTTTTATAACTACAAAGGTTATCTTACATCAGAGATGGGCAACCTTTTTCTATGTAAGGGCAGCATTTTAAAACTTTTGAACTGACACGGGCTGCATACAGAGAAAAAAATGCAGTTAAATCACAATTATTTATTCATATATAATTATAAATTAGCATATGTATACTTAATTTAGCTTCTGGAACTAATGTAAACATAATATATTGGAAGTATTTGGTTAAATATTAGTCACTGCTAGTTTTAAATTAATTTCGATGTATGTGTTAGCCAGTTTCTTATTTTAATTTTTACTAAATTCATTGCGGAAAAACTATTCACATACATAAGTTGTAAAAATAACGTTTGAATTTTTGCTGCATACTTCCTTAAGCTGGGAAATTGATATATTTGTTCATATTTTATGTGATGTGTGCCGCAAAAAATATTAAAGCAGGACGCTGGTTGCCCATTCCTGTCTTACATAATGGTTTATCACACTGAATGACCAGTCTAACACATTTTAAAAATTCTGTATTCCTCTAATGTATGCAATTGAAACAATTTTTAAAATTCGTTAGATTTGTCACTTGGTATGATAAATATGTAAGATAACCTTTGTAGTTATATAAATCATATACTATAATATAATATTTATAGAAGGATTAGAAGTACAAAATAATGTTGTTGTTATTTTTGCCTAGGCAATGTTGGGCTCATCTGCTAATAGTTTATATATTATGAATAAAAATGTTTTGAAAAAGTTAATTAAGCTTTAGATGTGATCAGATTTGAATAAAATTTTTGGTGTAAACAGAAAATTCAGAAAAATTTATTGAAATAGCATTTATTGAAATTTATTGAAGCCTTTTTTCTTATATTATTAACTGAGAATGACAGGTTCCAACTAGATATTATAAAACATTGTTAATTTTGCAATATTAATGATTTATTGATAAGGAAATTATTCAAAATATTTTCTTTCAACAATTTTACAACTTATTTAATTAAAAAAATTTACAAATATAGTATACATATAAGTAAAGCTGTATTATTCAAGAATTAACTATACTTGTTAGGCCATTTAATTTATGCCTTGATGTTCTGGAAGTAGTTCTGATGCTTAACATACCATTTTAAATAGCAAGAGTTAACAACAAAGATTATTATTATTTTTTTAATACTAATATCAATATTTGTATTTCTGACATAAATTTTTATCAAGACATAAGCAAACACAAATAATTCACAAACTGGATAAATCCACACATGGATAATCAACAGTATACTATATGTAACAAATTAAATTTGTCAATTTTTTCTTCTTTTTTTAAATCAGTATCTTAAAAATCTAGCAACAAGTTGCTTAACTTTCCTGGCAACATTTAAAACTGTGTGTGTGGTGTCATCTGTTATGATAATTTATTATTAAAAACTTCTTATATTTTTTATTATTATGAAATAGCAAAAAGCTTAAGGGTAGGAATAGGTTTTATAAAAAAAAATTGTAAATGCTAATAATGAGGAAAATTGTCATTAAGTCCAACCCTACTCGAGATATGATAACTCCTTTTATCTCCCTACCCCATTGACCTTTAACCACCAAAACTTAACAGTATTAATCTCCTAATACACAAATCTCCCTGCAAAATTTCAGAAATTTTTAACAAAAAGTACAGGAGTTATTAAGCTTCAAAATTGTGCCCTACACATTTGTCACAAAAAACACATGTTAACATCCATACTTATATTAAAAAAGAAATCCAAAACTTTTTTGCATTTCTTGATGTTTCAAGGTCTCTTGAGTTCAAAAATATAAAAATCTTGAGGGGTCATTTTTTTGAGCAATCAACATACTTTTCCTCTGTTACAACAGAGCTGGAAAAGTAAAATTAGAATGCTTGGATTATTTGAGTAAATATAGTACATATTATATAAGCTAATAATAGCTAAAATGAATACTTTTTTTGTTTATTTTTTTTTCAAGACAATGTTTTGAACTGACCATGTAATACTATTCTAATATGAAAATTGGAGCTGGATGAAGAGAGAATCTTTTTATTGATTCACTAAAATATAAATTTTGATTAAAATGCACAATGTCTTTATTATTGGATGGCAATAAAATTAAGAAAAACACATTCATAATAGTTATCATAAATCATGATAAACATTATTCCTAATATATTTGTAGAAAGAGCTTTTTTTTTTTAAATCATTATTTATCAGAAAATAAATATTTTTTTACACGGTATAAAATAAATAGATAATTACTTTTTTATTAACAAAATTATATTTAATGATAAATCATTTTTTCACTTCATCATTGCTTTGAAAACATTGTTTACCAAGATGTTTCTTTAGGGATCAAAACAGGTGTAAGTCATTTGATGTCAGATCAGGACTATAGAGTAGGTCTGAGTGGGTCCATGCTAATTTTTAATAGTGACAAGGATATGTAGTATGAGATTTGTCACAAAAAACCATTGTTCCTTCTATTAGCTGTCTGGGTTGTTTCTTGTTTCTTTCATGCAGATCACATATAGCACTGAAGAGTGGTTGACATTGTCATCCTTCTTGTTAAACTTTATCAGGAGATTGCCTTAGCAGTTCCAAAAGACAGTCAACATGAATTTACTGAAAGAAGGTGTGACCTTGAACTTTTTAGTTACAGGAGCTTGTGCTTCCACATCATGGATGAACATTTTGACTCTAGTTGAAAATGGTGTGTCTCTGGGTTGTCACTAGTAACAAGTCATTGTAGCATTGTGTCTCCTCATATGTATAATGTGCCAAATTTTTCAGATAGGTAGATCTTACTTCATTTTTAGGGTAAGCTCTCTTGGAATTCATAATTATCTTGCACACATATGATAATGCAAATTACTGATTTTGGCACAATTTTATGAGCCATGGTTGACACACACAATCACAATGAAACAACCAATTTCTTCTATTAATACACATATCCTATTGTAAATCATCTATTCCACTATATTATTTCTTCCACTTTTGACTTGTTCTTGTCTGTCTAAATTAAAATGGGACATCCTGGCCTTTATTAATGACTGTGAAGTAACCTTTACAAAATTTCTCAATCCAGTTGTGGGACAAGCAACCATTTTCATAAATCAGAAGCATTTTAGTGTAAATATCCTTTGCTGTGAGTTTTTTTAACCTACAGAAAATGTACCACAGCTCATTCTTCTTATATATTCTGTCAATACACATGCCATATTTGTTTGCAAAATACATGAAAACTGCAAGAGCTAACATGACTGTTTTGCAATTATGTGAGTTTGCAAATATCTATTTGTTTTTTTACATTTCTTGAAGGACAAAAATACAGGACTCATTTGTGATTTACTTATTGAATCATCATCATACTGTTGTTGTTGATTATATAGCATTATAATTGTATATGAAGAAATTTATCTGAGAAAAATTTCATGTATTTTTGAAGAATAAATTTTGTTTAGCAGATTGAATTTGAAATCAAATTGTAAAAATGGCATGCTTTTATTCCTTTTTGTGGTTAGGCTAATATTTTATGTGACAGATCAAAGAACTTCATCTTAATAATGCTGTATTAACTTAAAATGTCAATTTATAAATTGAATTTTAAAGTAAATATATAAAGAAAAGATTTTATTATATAAAATGGATTTTTATTAAAATGTCTTTAATATATATCCAACATAAAATCAATCTATTCCAAAAGTGAATAAAGTGCAACAGATTGGATCTTATAAATTATCAGAGATGAGTTGATGACATTTTAGTGATATAGAGAGAAGAAATCAAAACCTTCATTAATAGTTTGTTGTAAAATAGTAAATTATCAGATTTTCATTAGAAAATAGATAAAGACAAAAATAGTTTTAAAAAGTTATATGTACAGTAGATATATTAAAAAGCATGTTATAGAAATGCTAAAAAAAACAGCAAAATACTTGCTTCTAAATGAAAAAAAGAAAATAAGTCCTCTATTGGCTGAAGTTTATGAAGTTATTTGTAAAATTTATAGATATAAATTTTAGAAATAACTTCAAATTTATAAATTATTTACAATTAATCAAACATTATGGGCTGCAGTTTTTCTCCTTGATAGTTTTCTAATGTATTAAAAACTAATTTTATATTTCAGGTAAGCGATAATTCAGACGACCGTCCACCTTTGCCTTCTGTACCTCCAAGCGGGCCTTACAGATCTGAAAAACCACCAATAGGTTTTAATGTTGGAGTAGAATTTAATGCACCACCACCAAGTAATGATGTAGAAAATGTACAGCCACTCGAACAACCATCAGAAACAACTACTGAAGAAAACAATCCAATAATTGATACAAAACCAACACCGTATCCTAGAACACAATTTCCTAGTGATTTATTACCAGAATTACCTTCTGTACCAACTACCAGTTTGGCTGATCATACAGTAGGAAGTGATGGAAAGTCAGATGAAGTAGATTTTGATGACTTAACTAAGAGGTTTGAAGAACTAAAGAAACGCAAGTAATTAAATGCATCACTATCTTGAAATGTCACAATAGAATTATGCAGTTTCTACAGCAAGAATCTAATCCAAATTATTAGAAATCAAATATTATAAACTGTTAATAGTTAGTTAGTTCTGTAACAGTTTAAATAGAATTTTTTAAAATGAAAATATAAATTTACTTATTATGATTTAAGAAAATGGCTTTTTAAGTTTAGATTTTATAAAATGAAATCTTGATTTAAGAATAAACATTTATATTTTTGTGATAACTATGTATTTGCAATGTTAAGATTAATGTTTGTGCATTTGTCAGTTTTATTAACAGAAATAAATTCATTTAAACTGTGAATTTAATTGGCTGTTTCCAATAGAGTTTTTGTTACAGCTTTATGCTTGCTTTATTGGAATGTAAAGTGTGAAATACTTAAAATTTGATTGCTTTTGAACCTTGCTGGTTCATCTTCCCAGTTCATAAAATATTTAAAACACTCAAAAGCACTTGGATTTTGAGATTTTTTCCATTCCAATAAAATAGAAGTCTCTTGAATTTTGAGTTTTGAAGTTTGAGAATTTCTAAAAAACTAAACACAAGTTTTTCAATGTTGTTGTTTTGTATTATATTATACCATTTATGTAAGATGCTATTTTTTTCATAAGTGCCTAATAATTTTACATTTTAAAATTGAAATTTTTAGATACAGAATTCCTATATTTGAAGTTAACACACTACAAATTACAAGAATTTAAAACTTTATAATTTGTATATTTTGATTTGTGAATACATTTGTTTTTTTTTTTTTTTTCATGTAAATTTTTATTCATATTTAATAAAAATTTAAGGCACCAGTGAATTCTTTTATTCTTTTTATTTCTAAGTTTTCTGCACTGTGGGCACTAAGATGGCTTTTTATCCATATCCATCATGGACATGGCCAGGGTCATGATGGAAACTACTGGGTGGTAAGGGATGGAACCTGACATATTTGGGACTGAGTTGCCCATGAAAAATTCCTGGAGAATTGTTTACCTGATTTGATCCTAGGTCCTCAGAGCAAGTTCTTTCATTCTATAAAATTAGAAATTAGTAGTTCTTTCTTAATTTACTTTTCCCTGAATAATTTTTTTGTTATGTGGTTCTAATATAGATTAACCATTTTATGTACAGTATGATGATGTTGCATTATGTACAGTACATAGACAAATGATAAAAAAAAAAATATTAAATCTGGTGAAAATAATAATAATCAAAATCAGGTTCTCCAAACTTAATTCTTGCATTATATAAAATATGTATGAGAAATTCACTCAAATTTGCTAGTAATATGTATAGAAATGTTCATATACAGTATATCTTTGTAACATGTTATTTTTATAGCTAAAGCCTCTTATTAACCTTATGTTAATTTTTTGAAGGTGTGATATGAGGGAACTCCTTTGTTAATTTCTGATGTATATAATATAAAAATAATTTTTTACTCATGATTGATATGTGTTGGATATATGTTAGATAATGTCCTGATGAAGCTTTAAGAGTATATTCAAATTGGATGATGAATTCAAATCTGTTAGTTTCTAATACAAAATGAAACCTTTTTTCTTTTTTTACTTTTTCACAAAATATAGTAATATTTGATACATAATATGATTTAAAAATTGTATATAACTTATTAATATTTTCAGGATCTTGAAATTTTAATGTTTTCAAATGAAAATAATCACCAACATTTTGGAATGTTTTTCTATTTGTCAACTGAATTTTGAAAAAAAATTCAACTGCTGGATTATTGCATATTATTGTAAAAACTTTGCTGCTATTTAAAATTTTCTGTTTGTTTTTTATTTTACTTTTTATGCTCTGTAGACATTTTAAGACAGCCTTTTTAATTTGTATGCATTGTGAGTTTAGTCAAGCCACAATGGAGGCAGCTGGATGGTTGGGAGTAGGGCCCAACATATCTGGGACAGACCACCACCAAAAATTCCTTAGGTTATAATTATAAAGTTTCAATTTTTTTTTTTTTTTTTACAACAGAATATAGACTTTCCTCCATCAACAAAAGCTGAAATAAATGAATGAGTTATGCCAAGTGTTGATTATTACGCTGCATTGCGGTTTTGAAAAACAAATATAAAGATACAACACTGTTTCGAAATATGTAATATAAAGTTTCAAGTTTACACAAATGTGTATAATTTTTTTAAATTTTAAGTATAATTGAGTTAAAGATTAATTAAATACAATTTTGGTATTAACAATATCTGAACTATTAAAATTCGTATTCCAGTTTCACCTCATTCCTTATATCAGTGATATTTAAAGCATTTAAGTTAAATCCCTTGACAGCAATTTTCATTTTTTGTCATTTTATAAATGTTAGTATATTATACATTATGAAATATAATTTGATTTGTTTTTAATTAAACTATTAATATAACAGATAGTTTATAAAATGGTATAAAACACTGAACACCTTATAACGCTGAGATATATTTATTAAAACACAAACGTTTTCAGCCTAATGTAATAGGCCATCATCAGGTGAATTTGCTATCGAACACCTTTTGAAAATTCTGTTAAATTTAACAGAATTTTCAAAAGGTGTTCGATAGCAAATTCACCTGATGATGGCCTATTACATTAGGCTGAAAACGTTTGTGTTTTAATAAATATATCTCAGCGTTATAAGGTGTTCAGTGTTTTATTTTTTAAAAAGAAGCTGAGTGGATATCCAATTTATAAAATGGTATGTCAATAATTGTTTAACATAGTTAATAATTTTGTAATTAATTTACTGTATTTGATCATCTGTACACTTAGATTGTTTTTAACACATTAAAGTTGACTATATTATTATTAGTTTAAAATATATAATAATTAATGTGTGTGTATTTTAAACAATTTACGCCCTACTTCATTTATTAATAGTTGATATAATTGAAGTAGAATAAAAGCTTTAACAAAAATCATTGGCAAACAGAAATCATTCTAGGATTAATTCACTAGTTAAATTGTTGGGTTTAATTCATGTATATAATTAAGTCTGTAATAAATTGTCTTTAACTTTCAAATTGTATTTTGTACAATATTAAAGACAATTTAAATAATTTACTATTAAATTTTTTGCTGTCAGTAATAAGACCTCTCTTGTCCATTGTGGGTTCAGTAAGGGTCATAATGGGGAAGACAGGTGATAGAGACTGGAGCTGACATTTCCAGGTCAAACTAAAGATGAAAACTTCTGAGGATTTGACTTGGATTTGAACCAAGATCCCTGGGAATATCCAACTGACATCTTTACAGTCTTTCTGCTGTTGGCATAATTGTTGTCATTATTATTAAATTAAATTCATTAAATTTTATTGAATTATATTGTTAAAACAGAACTGACTGCATTAATTCTTGCTTATTATTGTCAAATTTTGTTATTTGAAGTTTCATTTTATCATTCAAACTATAATTTTGAAAAAAAAGAATTCTGTGTTTAATTCCTACTGACATGCACATTAATTAAAAAGTTGTTAATAAAATGGCACTTAAAAAAACTTTAAAAATCTGAAAAATTGAGTGATACCATCACACAAGTTAATATGATACACAGGGAGGCCTAAAAGTCAGTTAACCATGCTATTTATGATTTAATTTGTTGCAACGTTGTTTTTTGTGAATTGAATTAGATAGATAAATCTGTGGACTTTGATAAATATAGCCTTTCTATTACAGTATAAAAAAACTTTGTGCAAGTAGGCAGAATTTTTCAAAAGTGCAACCGACTATCTTCTGAAGCTTGTGGGCATCCTGAGGAACAGTGAAGATGTCATACCTAGCCATCCTATTGGTTACAGATCCAATAAATTGTACCAGTGTTTTCAGAGAGTCCCATTACACAAAGAAGCTTGTCCCAAAGGCTGAAAACTTGGTCATTAGCAGAAAATTTTCCATGGGTGGGCGAAGCTTTGATACAAATAATTTTCCTACATCAATAAATTTTTAATTATTTAATTTTTAGGAGTTTTTTCACAAGTAGGTTATAATACAGTATTGCATCAATATAAGACGAAAAGATAAAGTGTTCTATAGTTGAGGATGTAAGATCCTGTACATATCTCAATTACTTTTACGATTATAATTTATGGAATTTTTTACTCGATTCCAAGGAGAGGTAAATGCCCCGTTTTCCCCTCTCTGTTGACTTCCAAGGCTGGGAATATCAAGCTATTCCTGAAAACCTTGGCCTTGAGCATAGGCATAAAGTCAATGAATACTATCCAAAACCGAATCATCTCAAGGAACACTTTACCAATGCAATAAAAAAAAAACTGTACAAAGGCTATCTGTTATCGATAGGTGATACTGGAGGGTCACCCTGGACAATGCTTGGATTTAACTGGATAACAAACAAGCCCCAATCAATTTACTACTGGGGAAATAATGGCAACAGGCCGCTCCGATTTTGTCAGGTAATACGGAGAGAGTTTTCTGAAAGACTGATTTGTAGGTGGATATTGTGTCCGCGGCAAACTGAAAATCATTCACATGGATAAAACGTGAAGATTAATCGTAGTTTGCTTTCGGGAAAAAATTATGGACCCATTGTTCAATCCAGGAAATTCTGTACTTTTAAGGAATGGAGGCATCAAAGGTGTGTATATAGTGTGTGTGTGTGTGTGTATAGGCCTATATATATATATATATATATACATACTAGATTAGATTTGATGTAAATATATTATTATTTATAATATTGATTGAACGTTATTATAAATATGTTTATTATTCGCAAAAATTTCTAATTACAGGTATGTCATATTCTAGTGCATAAAATTGAATTATTTTTAACTAACAAATTGAGTTTAATTCACTTTTTACAATTAGGGTATTACAATAATTACATGTTATAGTTTAGAATTCGTAGTGTTATAACTAAACACTACGAGCCCTAAGCTATAACATATAACAGGACACGCCAAATAATGATACAAATAAAACTGCGATGTTCTACGCTTCGGTTTATTTAGCTTATTTGCAAATCTGGCCCTAAATACAAATGATTAGACAAATTGTGCATCATTATTATTTTAAAATCAGCGAAAGAGTAGACACGAGTCAGCCTGAACTTGAGGGGTCTATGTCACATGAAAGAGATGGAAGAAGACATGTGAGAGTTAACACGTGTTACAGCAATAAAATTTGTAAAAAAGTGAAACAATAAAATTATTTATGATAAAGATTACATAAAAATATTTTAAATACGTAAAAACAAAAGAACTGAAAGAGATCCGAATTCTTGTATCAACTTTCTCATATCTTCCATCCGACATGGGTCCTTCCAGCTCGGATTGACTCATGACTACTATTTCGCTATGCGGACTATAATAATAAGTTATCTAGCAACATTTTTTATATACAACTCGTATCTATATAATTTGCATAATACTAGCATTTAATTTTAATAACAGTATGCAAAATACGCGTCTATCTACAAAAAATATCCAGAAACGAGTTGCTTGATTTCCCGGCTACAATGGAACCTCGGTTAACGAACTTAATCTGTTCCGCAATTTCGTTAACCGAAGTAATTTTTCCCATAGAAATTAATGCAAATACAATTTATCCGTTCCAGCAGCCTGTATTTTTATAATTTTATTTGTAAAACGGGTTTTCTTTGATGAAAATATAGGAAAACGCTCATAAACAGTCGATCTAGGTTAAATTTTCGGAAAAGGGGAAAGATTTGACGGGTATAAAAACATCGCATACAATCGTTAAA